ACCAGCCTTATTAATTCAACTAAATTTAATCCAGTTGATCCGATCCAATTAATCTTATCCAGTCCAACCCTATTAATTCAATCCAAATAGTCCAACTCACCACTTCGATCCAATTAATCCAATCCACTTTATCTAATCCAGTACAACGCTATTAATCCAATTCAATTCAACTAATTTAATCCAGTTAATCTAATCTCGTCCAGCCCTATTAATTCGACTCAATTTAATCCAGTTAGTCCAATCCAATTGATCCAATCCAATTAATCCAACCCTATTAATCCAATCCAGTTTATCTAATCCAGTCCAACGCTATTAATCCAATTCAATTCAACTAATCTAATCCAGTTAATCTAATACAGTCCAATCCAATGAATCCAATCCAGTTAATCTAACCCGGTCCAACCCTATTGATCCAATTCAAGCCAATCAACCCAAGCCAATCAACTCAACCCAGCCCAGCCCAGCCCAACGCAACCCATCCCAGCCCATCCCAAAACAAATCTACAAACATCACCGCCAAGATCTCCAATACAAAACACACATCATACCGAGCTCCCCGGACAAGTCGACCCGTCAGTCCAGGGCCCCGCCAGTCCAGGGCCCCGGGCCCGGCGCGACACCCGTGCACCGGCGCGCCCGCCTATATCTGGCCCGCCCTCGTGGCCCCCCTCCCCACACTTCTCTTTCCTAGGCCAACTCAGCAAATGACCAAAAGCATCCCCCCGTACGAAAAGCGGCTCCACGAGGCCTTCGCCAAGACCTACGCGGCGTTGGCCGAGTTGAAAAACAACCGCAACAAGTACATGAGCTCGGCGCAGGTCTATGTGATTTACGACCGCTTTTTGCAGGACGTGCACGAATTGTCGCTCACCCGCAAAGACGAGGAATTGAAGGGCATGTCGCTCAACTTGCCCAACCCCGTGGACCTGCTTATCGACGACATCTGGCACTTGCTCTCGCTCTCGTTCATGACCTGCGGCTTGACGCAGTCCGCGCCCGCCACCTACCTGTCGTTGCTGACGGTGTATAAATTGCTCACGCATTTGCGCGAGTGCCAGGTTTACTCGGACGACGACTTGCGGCCGATCAAGGGGCGGTTGCTCGAGATCGAGCAGATCATCGCGCGCCTGGGCGCGGACGACGCAGAAACAGACTCGCTGGGTCCCGCCTTCCTGGGTTCCGTTTCTCTGGATCCCGCCTCTCTGGATCCCGCCAACAATGACGCTCTCCACAAGAGAGAGGAGACGCTCTTGTTGCGCAACAAATTGGCCAAGTGTTTCCAGGTGTACCTGGAGATCGAGGCCACGTTCAAGCAGATCCCCAGCGACTTGGAGGCGCCGTACGCCAAGCTCATAGCCATCCGCAAGGCGCTCTTTGCGCTCGTCACGAGCGACGCGCCGCTGGCCGCGGACATCCGCGCGCAGTCCGCACACTTGTCTGCCTGTTTGAAGGCCGTGGAGGCGGGGCGCGACTCGCTCGGCAAGTTCCCCAGCGCGGAGGCCTCGGGCGCCCGCTTGGCCGCGGCGCAGATGGTGCTCGACGGCTTGCTCGACGACTGCAACAACTTGTTGTACGACTTGAACATCCAGCACGACAACGACATCCTGAGCCGCTTCGAGCTCCTCTCCGTGGAGGACTTGCAGGCGTCCGAGATCCTCTCCACGCTCAAGCTGCTCTACGACGAGCTCCTCTCCATCAAGCAAACCTTGGACAACTTGCTTGTCACGAGGCGGTGGACCATGCGCGAGACCGACTTGTACACGTACCAGAAGTCGCTCAAGGCCATTGACGAGAGGAGGGTGGGCGCCAACGAGAAGATCTCCGCGTACGACGGCTCCGCATTGAAGCGCATGAAGAAGGCCCAGTTGCTCGTCTTGTATCTCTTGAGGAGGTGCTACGCCCTTGTCTACAAGCTTTTGGAAAGTTCAGAGCCGGTTTCTGAGTCTTTGCAGCCCATCCACAACCAGTTGTCCACCGTGCGCCGCTGCTTGTTGGAGATCAAGCGCGTCGACGGCTTGAACAACCTCCGCGAGCTCTTCCCCTTCCAATTCAAGCTAGCCTCGCTCGACAACCTAAGGCACGACGGCAAGTTCATTGTCAACAACCAGGTGCCGGAGGGCCAGGGCACCTTGAATGCGTTGTTGGCAGAGTGCTTCGACATTCTCTACGAACTCAAAATCGAGTTGGAGGAGAAGGAAGAAAACGAGGACCCGGACGACGCCGAATGCTGCCGCAATGCCGGCAACATCACCGACGAGGAAGACAAGGGGTCGGACGACGAGGTGGAGCTCAAGCGCAACCGCTATATGGGCTTCAACGAGGCGGACTATGATGTTGTCAGTGAGAGCGAGCTCTCAGGGATCAGTGACAGCGAGTTCGAAAGCAACGACTACTATTAAGTTGCAGCTTAGCTGGCATGGCATCGGCCTGCTTGGCCTGCTTGGCCGGCTCCATGTGCTGAAGAAAATGAGAGCGCAAATGCCAGCGCTGCTGCCATCCTCCCGAGCTTGCTATTGTATATGAATGAGTGGCCCGAATTGTGCATGCCACACGGCATCTCAAGGCAGACCCAACAGAGCGTCTCCTAATGATGAGAGTATGATGTAAAGCTGGAAGTGCACGATGGAACTCACTCACTGTATATATAGGCGCACGCCTGTGCCGCTCGCATTTGGGAAACCACGAAAACAGGCGTATGCTCCTGGCTTGGTCCAGTTGCCCAGTGCACGGCCTCCAACAGCTCCGTCTCTTCGCTCGACCTGGGATGTTTTCTGCTTTCACATACATGACTTTGACGGAACCGGGCCTTTGGGCTCTTGATCTGAGTTCCATGTCACGAACGTGTGCTTATTGGAAATGAATGAAGCTACCGACAATGCCGTTGAGCGATGCGACAATGCACAGCAAGCAATGGCAAGTTGATTCTATGTATAGAGTATCTCGTGCTGTAAATATTCAGAGAATTTGAGGAGTTCTCGACTGTTTCAATGTAGCAGGCAGGTATGAGGACCTTTCTCTCAACCTGCGGAATCTTCTGGCTGAAAGAAGAAGCTTAAGGACCCCACATAAATAAACACATCCTTTGCAGTAAAAAGAACAAACCCCTGTGATGGCTCGTGTGACAGTGCCATGGGGTATTTTAGCCACGGCATACACGATATTAGTTGGCACGAGCATTTTCCGAACAAGCCTCAATCAAGCATGGACAACATGTGCAAACAATAGAATTACAAGTTGACAGACACGCAGGGTGCACATTCCGATTAACAGGCAATGGTCATTTTTGAAACACAGGAAAGGCTTTTTTTTATTCATATTCTTGGTATCGCTCGAGGAATGTGGAAGTTGTCTTGAGCCCTGAGGACATGGTGGATATGATGCTTGGATTTGCTATACGGGGACCCAATAAAACCCGCGGACCTAATAAAACCTGTCCTCATAAAACCAAGGCTTGGTTTCCAGCATCACTGGGTGCACTGGACTCACCCAACAAAGGGTCCAAGAACAAACAGCCAAAGGATTAAAATGAGAAATGGGAGCAGCGGGAAATAGGGAAGCATGCCAAATGTACAATGGAGCAGCCAAGACACAATAAGAATAGTATAGGAAACAAAAACGTAATGGAGCAGAGAAATAAAAAGAGAACAGGCGGAAGAGACTGTGGCCAGTGTCGACAGAAAGAGAAAATCCGTGACTTCACAATGTACCTGTACTTCAAAAACTATAATGTGCATCAATCATCCAGCATACCATAGACATCAGATATAGTGCAAATCAAACATACAATTTCATCAAACATACAATATTCATCAAACATACAACGTCATTAAACACACTATGTCATCAAACATACAATATTCATCAACCATAAAACATTCATCAAACATACAATATTCATCAAACACACAATGTCATCAAACATACAATATTCATCAAACACACAATGTCATCAAACATACAATATTCATCAAACACACTATGTCATCAAACATACAATGTCATCAAACATACAACACTCATCAACATACAATA